TCTCTGGGCCCGGCCGTCCAGCCAGTTTTTGACCCAGCGCAGAGTCCACCTGTCTAAGCCGTGAGCCGCCGGCTTCTCTAGGAGAATGCTGTGGGAGACAGTGTCAAAGGCCTTACTGAAGTCCAGGTAGACCACATCCACAGCCTTTCCCTCATCCACTAGGCAACTAGCCTTAAGTGGAAAGAACAAAATTTGCCAGGAAAATAGTTTTTTTGAGGCAAAATAATTCTATGGTCTGTGTAGATGTCACTAAAACCACATCTTTGAGTCATTCACAGCTGCCTTTCACGCGGAGAGCAGGGGCAAAGGCACTGCCACCGCTTGGTCCCTGTTTCCAGGGTAAGGGCCACAGCTGGCTGTGCTGCAGCTCCATGGCCAGAGTGGGCTGCGGGTAGGACCCTGCGCTGGGCTTGATTTAACTACACCTGGAAATGCTGTCCGCGCAGATCGTGGCAACAGCTTACAGGCAGTGATCTGTGCGTACAGCTGTATCCCTGCTTTCTTTTCGAGGATGGCCCTGGGGCAGACCTGCACTGGAAGAACCAGTGACACAGCTCCCAGTCTGCTCTGTTTCCACCCATCCCAGCTGGCTGCCAAGGGAGCAGGGGCTGGGAAGCGACAGCAGAAAGAGATGGGAGGAGATGGGGAGTGCAGGGAGGTGCAGGCACCCTCCTCACAGGGTGAGAACCTGGTTCAGAGAACACTGAGGATCAGACCCGTTTGTACGTGTGTAGTAGACATAACTCTGATGTGTGTGCAAGGCCTCCATCACACTTACACTGATGTTTCCCTTCAACAGAAACAACCTGGGAGCGGCCAAGCAGTGTGCCTGGGACTCCAAAGAGCCCTGTGTCACAGAAGAGTTCTGCAGGTACTGTTTGAGGCTGTGCCTGACCACTGCATTGGGTGAATCTGCTTCTCTACCACTCAGCAGAGCAAAGGAAAATGCTGCGATTACATGGGATGTGTATTTAATGTACACGGTCATGTGAATGTAGCAGAGTAAACATGGTGGGGCTTTCCCTTCTGATACATCTTCTCGCCTGCTGTTTCCCTACTGATGCATCTTCTGGCCGGTTGTCTGAAGTGTCTGCTCAGAGCTGAGATGGCTCCTTCCTTGGAGCATGGAGGCAGATGGTGGCCCAGCGAGCCAGCCGGGCTGCCAGCTCTGGGAGGGAAGGACAGGCTGCCTTTCCCAGTCCCGCTTTCTGCTGGGGCAGGGGGAGCAAAAAGCTGCAGAGGAATGTGGGCTGGCTACAGCTCTTCCATGCAGAGCACGTGCACAATGAAGTGACCACTTCATTGACCACTTAACCTCTGTCCTGACTTGAAGTTGCAGGGAATCAAGTAACAGAGAATCAGCTGCATAACTGTACTGAAAAGCTTTGGGTACTGCAGGAAGACAAAGCAAAGCAAAAATTACACTAGAATAAAAAGTGTTAAATGGAAAGGCCATTGCTGCCAATTGACTGTAAATAATGCAGTCTAGAGGATGTTTTTTGTAGCATTTTTTTGAACTGATGCCCCTCTATCAGCAGAGCTGAGTGGGAACTATGCTTGAAGATTGCGCATTTTGTTGTGACCAAAGGGTTTGTGATGTAGTTGTGTATCTTGTTTTAACCCTACTTTGAGCATTATTCTTTGCTCAGTATATTCCAAAAATAAAGCACCCTACAGCTGTATATATGAACCATAAATACCTTACAAGGCTTACTTTCTTGACATGAAAAGCCCGTCTCCATTAAACCAGTGCTTTTTACATACCCTACTTTTTCAAGCACATCATTTTACCAAACAGCACTATGGGAACTGTTTTGAGTCGGGGGTCTCTTTTTCTTGGCTCTTTCCAGCTCAGTAACTCTGGTCGTAACCCCTGATAAGAGCTTTCTGCAGGATCCTGAGGGTGGAGGGGCCCATGGGCTGAGCTTCTGTAGAGTCCAGTTCTGGGGTCTTTCTGGGTTGGAGCTAACACATCACATTGCCAGCCTGATGGAAAAGCAAAAAGAATCTCTAAGGCCGGAGGCAGGAAACACTGAACACTCGTGACTCAAAAAAGGCACCGTGATTTATATCTGTATATTCATTTGCTGCAGGATCCTGAGGGTGGAGGGGCCCATGGGCTGAGCTTCTGTAGAGTCCAGTTCTGGGGTCTTTCTGGGTTGGAGCTAACACATCACATTGCCAGCCTGATGGGATGGGGAAAAGCATCTGTAGTTTCTTAGGCTGGAGGCAGTGAACACTGGTGACTCAAAAAAGGCACCGTGATTTATATCTGTATATTCATTTATGTGATTAGTTTTTAAAACGTGCAGTTATTTATTTGCTACCAGCAGCAAGCCTGCTAACTCTCCATCTGTTCTTACAGTGAATGGCTACCACATCTCTGGGACGCCAGTACACCAGCTCGACTCTGGTCATATGAGCCTCCGAAAAGCCAGTGGGGACCCCCAGGTAAGTTCTGGGGAAAAAGCCAAACAGTGGTATCCAAGAATAAATGGGTCTCCAATTAAGTAGTTTAGGAATCTGCCCAGAGCAGGAGATCAAGAGGCATTTTCTTTCAGAAACTGTCAGATCAGACAGATTTGTTGCATCTAGAATAGTTAGTCTTTGTGTCCAACTGGTAAAACAGTACAAAATGCCAAGATACTTTGGATTTTTTTGTTGTATCATTCCTTTCTGAAAAATCCACCAGGCCACTTCAGTCACTATTAACAACCTTACAAATTTTCCTGCCTCTCCAGCCTGAAGCCTGGGCCTGTCTCCAGCACAATCCTCTCTCTAGACTTGCACATCTGCCCATGTCTGTATCTCATTGTATTTTCTTGCAGCTCCAGCCTTCCCTCCCAAAGACAGTATTCACAAAGAATTTGTCCAAAGCTTTTTTCTCAATTACTTCATCCATTCCTGCATGTCCTTTTACAGGCCCTCCTCTGTGCTTTACATAGCCCATGCCTCACCCATCTCATCACCCCAGGGTAGTGTTTAAGATGCTGACTCATGGACAGCCGTTCTCCCCTGCCTGTTTGTCCAAATTTTCAATAAATATCCCTGCACTTTTTCTTGCACCACTTCATGTCCCTGGGAGAGTCTTCCCCGCAGGTCTGCAGATGCAGCACAGGGCCCTCTTCCAGCTCCTCCCATGAAACTCTTTGCCCCCTCCCAAAACAGCAACAGTTGAATAGCAGGTGGGTTGCACTCCCATGGGTTGTGCTTCCCTGCCCAATGACGTTTTTCCCCTGGTGGTACCAGACCCGAGTTCTCTATTTCATTTCTGTATTAACTGGTAGGTTCTTCTGCAGTGCAGCTACTTAAATACTCCCAGTGAAATGCATGTTTGATTTGTGTGCTGCTACCATGCTGACCAGGGTTACCTGTTGCTCTCAGCGTCCCTCTGATGTTCTCTATTTCTTGGCCTAAATTTTGTGTTGTCTGCCAACTGTCCCTCTTTGCCTCAACCCACTTTCTTGCCCACTGCCTCCTAGGCAGTTGCCTTCAGCCTTGCCCTTATATGTGCTGTTTCAGCTAAGTCAGCATTTCTGGTTTTGCTTGCCCACCAGTGGATTCACAGCATCTCCCACGGTACAGTCCAGTGCTTTGGACTCCCCTTTCCTTCCACATCCACATCAAACATCTTGCACTTAACTGTCCTGTGCTGCTGCTTCTCTGAGCTGTTTGCACAGGCTGGAGGCAGAGCATGTGGGTGCCTAAACTAGGTGAAAAGCATTTTAGAAACTGATGTAGTGCATTACCAGACACCCCTGTCCACACGTCTGCTTTGAGTCCCTCAGAGAACTCAAATAAACTTGCAGGCTGTGACTTCCTTTAAAAAAAGCTATGTTAATCCTTGTGCAACAAATCTCATTTCTCAAGGTATCTGATTCACAATGTTTTTGCAGTTGCCTTGGTACACAAGTCAGATTAACCGACTCCCCCAGAACTTCCTTTGTAACAACATTTGCCACTTTCCATTTTTACAGTGCTGAGTCTGACTCAAGTTTATAGCCACCTTTTTGGTCAAATTTACATCTGAGATACATGGGGAATCCATTGCCATGCAATGGTTTGCTCAGCTGACTCATCCATCAGTGACAAAAATCCCCTTCATGACTTTTCTCATTCACTTCAACAGCCTCCATGATACTTTCTTTCCATTGCTCCTTTATTACAGGTTTTTCCAAATTGAAGTCCTGTCTTCATTTCTGCTTTGAACCTATTAACTAGTTTTGAATCTATAACTAGCTGCTGGTGCCATTAATTCTAAGAGCAGCTTGTGTCCACGCCCGCTTGGGAGCCTGCTTTTCCTGGGAGCTGTGGCTGCTTTTGCAGAAGAGTCCTTAGTAAGGAAAACTTCTGACCATAAACTGTTGGGTGCAAGAAGCTGTTCTCTACACCCTCAAACTCCCATACACTTTGGCCAGTCCCTCTCCTACTTGCCTGTCTTGGGCCATCCCAAGCTGCTTTGCCTTGACTGCCTCCTTGTCTGTTCTTGGCACAGGCTGTCTCCTGCTGCAGAGCAGCTTCCAGGCATTCTCCAGGATGCTTTCTTAGACCTGGGTAGCAGCCATCATGCAAACAAACGCTGGCAAGATCCCTCAGGCAAGCTCAGCCACATTTCTTGGAAACAGGTCAAGGGGGAAAAAGCCACAACTGAGAACAACACGGAGCTGCACTGTGCTGGGCACAGGGCCAGGCCTTGTTTACGGCTTCCTAGAGAGCAGCTGAATGCTGCCCGTTCAGGTTGTCACAACTGCCACAAAGGGAGCAGCAGCGCAGCCCGGCCGGCGGCCATCCCGCAGGCAGCGGGCCCGTGCGAAACCGCACGTCTTCGGCCCCGGGCACGTTGCTGCTGATGTGACTTCAGCCGGACGTCGAATTTCGGGCGGTAGCCCGAAGGGAGCGCGCCGTGCTGGGGCGCTGCACGAACACTGCCCGGCCGGAGTATGCTCCCCCCACCCCAGGCGCCCGGCCCGGCTCGTCTCCGCGGGCGGGAGTTAGGGCAGGGGGCCCTGTGGACGCGGTGCCAGGGCAGGGGGACACCGGGCTGGAGTCCGCGGCACAGCCCAGCGACTGCTGCGGGGAGCGGACGCGCACGCTGCGGATCGGC